CACGAGGGTCGACTCCAGGTGTGGGGCACGGCCACCTGGGAGGGTCTTTCCTGGAGCTGCCCGTCCCCAAACTCTTGTCCTGACGCACCTCGGCTGTTGGTGGGGAAGGATGGGGCTGACGCAACCCAGGATGTGCACGCGGCGCAGTGAAAACAGGATGTGGTGTGCTGAGACGGGCAGGAAGTTTCTGGGGGCCCCGTGGGCCCCCCAGCCATGGGGCACGGTGGGAGTGGGCAGCAGCACCCCACAACAGAGCCCAGTGGGGCGGCGGCCGCTGGCAGCACCCTGGGCTCGTCACCACAGTCTGCCTAAACCAGTGCCTTTGCCCCTCCGGTGTGTCTGGTGCAGGCACAGCGTGGGCTGGTGGGAGGGCCGGCAAGCGCTGCAGCACAGCTGTGGGCCGAAGGACCACCGTGAGGCTCCTGAAGCCCTTCCTCCCCTTGCTCCATAGCCAGCGTTCCGGGTGCTGCTTCTCCATCTCGCACTGCCGAGCAGGATTTAGCTGAGTCAAGGCGGCCGAGGCTCATGCGGCCTCTCCAGGCAGCTGGCAGTGGGATGGGGACGTGCCGGGGGTTCGCTCCCGCTGCAGGGCACAGGCCCTGGGCTCTGCTGCACAGTGCTCCCATACAGAGCGGTGGGGTCCGTGCAGGGACCCCGAAACAAGGGGGCAAGACAGTGGGGAACAACCTCCCATGGGGACCAGCACCGCTCCTGGTCCCAGTTCTGGTCCCGTCCGGCCGTGTGAGCTGCCACGGAGTCTGCAGAGGGCAGCAGGCACCGGCAGGCCCCACAGCCCTCCGGGTCCTGCCCAGGGCTCGGTCCTTACAGCCTGGACAGGACCTGGCCCTGCGGCGGGGGATCTGGCAGAACCGGACAGGGAGCTGTGGGGCCAGGCTGGGGGTCTGCTGGGGTGGGGGGACCCCAGCATTGCCACAGCAAGGTCAAGATGTGCCGGGTTGAATGTCCTGGCAGCCCCCAAGGAGGGAAGGGCCGGGCCAGCCCCTGGTGCCTGCCTGGCCGGGACCCCCCCACATCATCTCACACCACCCCC